AGAAGCAAGCTTTGGCTTTGCCCTTGAAATCAAAGGATTTTCACAAGAAGGGATAAAGGGCAAGGAGTTCTTAGCCAGGTATTCATCAGGGCTAAAGTTATGGAGATAGGAGAGCTAGAAAAAAAAAGAAAAAAGAAAAAAAAAGAGTCCTACTTTGAAGGGATCATTTTTATAGACATAGATAACAAAGTATTTGTGTTAAAGGGTAAGAAACTAATTTAGTAGTTGGCTGGAAACTTTCAGTAATTTTCTTCTACTGTATATTATATGAGTTTATACATTTGATGGCTTTTACTGTTGTTTTTTCTTCCCATTTGTCATTAGAATGTAGTGTGTTTATTGTGGGCAATGCACGTTATCATTTGGTCTAAGTGTTACATCATTTTCAAGAGTGATTCCAAAAATAAGAAGACAAGATGCATAGCCAAAAATAAAGTAGTGTGAAAATCAATATGCTACTTTAAGTGGTGAGATTCTCATACATGACTACCAATTTAGGATTAGCCAACTGTATGCTTCCAACTGGCACTTTTTTGTTTTGAAAAAGTAAATACAGAGACTATTAGACTAGTGATGTCAAGGGTATAGACAGCCATGCTCTAACCTTCTGAGAATGGTAACCTCATATAATCCTTAGTTATTCTTTTGACTTGGGTTTCTTTTTGTTGTGTAAAATAGTCTTTCAAATTTTATGGTAGTAAAAATGAGAGATTTGCATTTCTGGAACTTACAATATAATTAGTACTAGAAAACATGTGTGTGTATGTGTGTGCATGTTTATATGAATAGTTTCAGAGAATCTAAAGAGTCATGATAAGACAATGAAATGAAACCAAGAGGAATTAAATAAAAACCTAGAGAATTTGTTCATCAGCATATTCAGAGTAAAGAAAAAGAGAGTAAAAACCAAAATGATAGGTCTTAAAATGGGTACTTAGATAAACATAGAAAGGCATTGAAAAGTTGATGACATTTCCCTGTAGTTATTAATCGTCAGAAGATGCTGGAGTAATTAGGCAAAGGAACAAAATGTACAATAACTACCCTTACCCTGGAATAAGTTTTCATTGACAATCTCTTAATCCATAATGGTAGACAGATGAATACTCTGAAAAATTAAGTTAGTATTTGTATATGTTATAAAGGGAACTTGGAGAAATATTAACACAGTCCAAAATTCAAAGTTATCTCAAGTCATGATGTTTTATAAATTATAGTGAAAAATCATTATATCCTTCACAAAATTGTTTACAATATTTTAATGTTAATATAATAACCAATTTATAAAGGATTTTCTGTATGCTACAATAAGTATCCATGCTAAGTCACCAAGAATGGTCATATTTACAAATAGATTAATTTTTGACTTTGGTTAGATTTTCTTGGGTGCTTTTTCCTTTCAACTCATTTAATGTTGCTTTCACTAAACATATTTGTCATATAGAAAACACTCATCAGATTATCCTTGGGCATCATGAGTCTGTAAAGAGCATCAATGAAATTCATGACAATACCCCACTGAGTGTCATTGTGCAGTAATTTTTTCTGCGAAGAATATGTTCTATTGCTATCTAGACATAAGTGAACAAAACACAGCATTCTCAGAAGGACGAAGATATAGTCACTATGTTGGGCACTCAAACAACCTGCAAAGCACAAAATGAAGTGGAAGGTAGAAATCAGAGGAATGTTTGTTAACTAGAGAAGCTAAAGTTAGTGACAGTTACTAAACCTCTTTTCACAGGAAGATTACTTTATTTCTAAAAGATCTTTTTATTTTTCCTGTCTAAGCCCTTTTTAGAAAAGAAATCTGGTATATAAAAGAACTCTCACATAAAGATGACTAGAGAGACGGTTCAGTGGTTAAGATCACTGACTGTTCTTCTAGAGGAACAGGTTTAACTTTTCAGCATATACATGGCAGCTCACAACTGTCAGTAACCTCATTTCCAGAGAATTTACTGCCCCTTCTGCCCACGATGAGCACTAGACATGCATGTGGTGCATAGACATGCATGAGGCAGATACACTCATACATATAAAAAAATTAAAAACCTCACAAATGACATTGTTTGTCAAAGCTATTTATGAAAAATTCCAAATTGTCCAGAACAACTGGTAGAGTTCCCAGAATCTATATAACAAATTATCACTTCGTTTTATTTAACTATAAGGGGAGTATAGAGTAATAGAGATTTCTGAAGATATATAGCTTCTCTGTCTATTACTATTACAGCATATTCAGTCAATGGGAATAGTTCATTAGGCAATGCATATCTAGTACTTAAGGCTTTGAATAAAGAACTATATATTGAACTCATGCCCTCAACTCTATCTGGGTAATGAGATGCCACTATTTTCTCAAAGGAAAGGAGAACATTTTCTCTCTCCATTTTGGTTTTTCCAAATTCTGTATAAAAGTCAAAGCTTTGATGAGCAAAGATGCATTCAGGTGCTAATGTAGGAAAGGAATTGCAGTCTCCTGATGATAATATATAGTTTTAGGAGATTCTATTTTGATTCTGAGTGCCTATTCTTAATGTTAACTCATACAGTAAAGAACTGAAGTCTACAGAGGATTTGAGTCCATTTGCTGTTGAAGTACAGGATAGGTGATAGTCATATGCTTGCAACAGAGTCAAAAGAATGACCTCTTATATACAGTTTCAAGATAATACTCATCAATTTCCACCTTTAATCTCCACTGCCAAAAACATATTTGTTAGTGACATATTAAAGGAAAATAACCTTATTGCTACATCCATGAATCAACTTTAATATACAAACAATAAATCAACTGCAACCTAGTAAAGATTATTGTATAATTATAATAGCTTATTTCAAAGCACTAGAAATCTGTGATTCTCCTTTTGAGAAACATCATAGCTTATGAACCGTGAGTTTTGTTGGGGTAATTCTTTTCTCTTTACCTGCCATTAGGACAATGTGATACCTTTGGCATATCATAGCTTGAAAACACCCTTAATTCATATAATAATATATAGTATCATGTCAAAATAAATCTCTCTCTTTGTGTGTGTTTGTGTGTGCATATAACTGTCTCTGTCTCTCTTTTTACTCTGTCACACACATACATGCACGCATGCCCACAAACATTTCTGAGTAATCTCCCTCTATTGCTTTCTTTAAACCTGTCTATTTTAATTGTACTCCATGAAATACAAAAAAAAAAAAACACTGTCAACATAGAATATACTATCTTCCTAAAGTAAGTTAAAACATTGGAAGAGCATGGCATACTCTCTTGTGAAATAGCTCTCTACTGTGATGCATTTTCAAGGAAACTCATTATAGTTAATTATTGATCTGACATGGTTTCTCTTCTGCTTACACTTTCCTTGAACCTCAAAGCCATTAGTTTAATTAACCTGACTAAGCAAATTTTCGACATAGTGAGACATGGAACAATGAGCTAGACCAGAATGCACTGTATCTACCTGCTTCTAAGACTGGATGTCTATATTCTGAGAACTTGCAGAGATTCAGAAAATAGAGATTTAAAGAGAGAATCTCTTAAAGCTTAACACTAATGTTGGCATTTATACTGACATCAGTATATATATATAATAATGTTTGTGTGGGATACATAACATATATACGTATATATAATGTAGTGTACACGTTGAAGAATTACAGCAAAAGCAAGTAGAATGCATAGAAATTTACTACACCCTCAACATAGGTTGGTGTTGAAAATTCAGTGTATTTTGACAAATGGATGATATAGAGAAGCTTCTATGCTGTGACATCCCCAATGTTCTGGCTCTCCCTTCCTTCTTCTCCGCCCACCTCTAGCACTCCCAGAACTCACTGTTTACACGGTCTTGCCTTTTTCTGAAATCCATGTCGTGGAAACTGTGCACTTAGGGTTTTCAATGTGTAAAAATGGAGCAGTTGTTACAACGTGAAATAAGAAATGCTAATTTAAATAATTGTATGATTCCATACATTATATTCCATAATTAATTTATTAAAATTTTTATTTTAGAAACATTTCCTAATAGTGAAAATTTCTTGAAATATGTATGCAAAATACTACACTCAGGTCTAAAGGTAAACAAAGTGTTTCTTACAGGAATCTTAATTTTATTTGAACACTGATAAATTTCATTTATCTCAAAAGCAGGGACAAGATATTCTGTACTAAAACACCAAATTTACATTAGGATAAAACAAGAGACTTAAAAGAAATATTGAGCTAACAGAGGAGTGCCTCCAGCTCAGAGCATACCTAGACTCCCACAGGAAATGAAACTTCATGTTCTTCCTGGATCAAAAATATCTCAGTAGAAAAGTTGAGAAGGAATTCAGAGGAGGTTTAATTTTGAACAAGAAATGTGTTGGTAGTTGGCTATGCTTTAGATCAGGGTCCCCAGGAGGCTAACTCAGGAGACATATTCCTGCTGAGATACTTCATTGGAGGAATCTCACAGGAAATTCTCCCCACAGATAAACAAAGGAAAGAAAACTGATTGTGAGAGGGTTTGACTGGGGTCCAGCTGAGTTCCTGTTTGACAGGTGACTTGTGACAATGCTGTGGCGAGCCCCTAAATTCATTAGCCCTTCAAGGCATCCAGCATAGGTCCACGTCGAGCCCCTAAATTCATTAGCCCTTCAAGGCATCCAGCATAGGTCCACTTGAGAGTTGTTTATTTCCTTTTGTCCCTCGGTTCCGCTGATCGAACTCAGCTCCGCAGGCTCAGCAGCAAGTATTCACTTCACACCTCTGTTGAGCCCTTTCACTATCTATCCCCAGAAATGCCCCCTTTAAAGACTGTAGCTTCTGAGAGTAGTTAAGGCATATTTTATCACATTTATATATTTTATACAATTACTATTTCATAATTAGAAGTTAATTTATTTAAGTTAGGAATTCTTTTATAATTATACAACAGTCAGGTATGCCCTGGGATGGTTCAATACAGGACATAGACAAAGAAAAAGTACCACATCATAGACACGCCTGCTCTCTTTTTCAGGTCCGGCCTTACCACAGCCATCATTGTGTGAAGAAGACCAGTTTGCTTGTTTCTACAGCACCCAGTGTGTCCCTGACGCAGAGAAGTGTGATGGACGGGAAGACTGTATAGATGGATCTGATGAAATAGATTGCTCTTCCAGCCCCTCTCCTCAACTCTGCAGTAATACCGAATTCCAGTGCTCGGAAAGCCAGTGTATCCCATCTCTCCTGCTTTGCGATGGAGTGGCTGACTGCCACTTTAATGAAGACGAATCCAGCTGCGGTGAGTGTTTTCACTAACTCAGTGTTCCAGGAAGAAATTCTGTTTAGAAATGATAGAGTTTGAAAGATGAAGTCAAGGTCTCCAGAATAGCCCATATCATCAATAACAGTATGTTTGTGTCTTATATAGCTAAACAAGCCATGTGGCTCTTGCTTTCCATTTCTGGAAAGGCTCAGTTTATGGTTACACTAACTTCTGTTAGCCTCTTCTTTTCCCATCCGTTTAACTCTAGCTCATTTTTCATTATGTTATCTTTTTAACACATTTTATAAATGTATTAAAGTATTGCAGTTATAATTTATTTTTATCTTAAATGTTAAGATATTTAGCCCAAATCAAGGCCTTTAGACAAAGAATTGATTATAACACACACACACACACACACACACACACACACACACACACACTGGTTTAGGCCTGGAAAATTATATTAGTAGGTTTCCTATCATTAAGAGTTCCTGGTGTTTTCCTACGACTTCTCAATGGCCCTTAGTGTTAGCTGTCCCTTCCTGTATTCCCTTCTTTACCCCACATCTTCTCTCACCCTCCCCATTTTGTACTTTTGCTTTGGTCTGCCCATTTCTTGATAACTGTGTATCATATTTCCCCTCAGGAGATTGTCTCTCTCCCTAGTCCCATTCTCTATACCTAACATCTGTGCTATCTCTACCTGCTTGCAAAGGAAAAAATAGCTTTCTTTAGTGGGTTCTCACTGGCTGTATTAGCCACATGTAATGGTATGTCCAATGACAAGTAATAGATGGCTAAAACAACATGAACTCAATGGTATTTGTAGATTTTTCACCTCATAATGCTTTGTTTTGTCTTGAAAACTTTTTATTTGATTATCATGGTTTAATATTTTGTGTTTTCATGCTTTTTGCTCTTGGTTGTTCATATTCATGTGTGTTTCTTGTGATTCCCTTTTTTAAATAATTCTGATTTGTCTGCTTGTTTTCTACAAAAAAGAGAATAAGTCATATAGTTGTGTGGATGAGGAGGTGGGGAAGATCTAGGTAGAGTTGGTGAAGGAGAAACCATGATCAGAGACATTGTATGAAAAAGATTTTCAATATAATAAAAGGGTATATTATGTTACAGACTAAAGATGCAGAATATCAAGGAGATATTTTAGTGTTGTTAATGGCATTTCCTCATCCATATAGCACAGTCAATAATACCGAACCTATCACACTAGAAGAATTTGAGCTAGGATATATAAACCCCAAACTCTGCTCTCAATATTCACCATTTTTGCTTTATGTATTCTCTTTTGGAGAGAAAGGGGAAAAATGTTAAGAAATAATTGCTTACAGCTAAAGGTGATTAGCCAGTCATGATAAGGTTCAAAAGCCACTAACATCCTACTTATTTTTTGTTTGGTTCTTTATTCTATTTATACATTATATTTTTTAAATTCCTAAAACATAAGAGCAGAACATAGTTTTTACATGAAAAAAGTCATTTTTGAATACAACCATATGAAGGAATCAAGGAATGAAGCAAGGGGGTTTAGTAATCAACTAGAAATCCAGAAATGTGATTATTGGGAAGGGGGGTAAAACAAATAAAAAGGTGGAAAACAGTCTCTGGGAATAATTTTTTTTTTTTTTGGTTTTTCGAGACAGGGTTTCTCTGTGGCTTTGGAGCCTGTCCTGGAACTAGCTCTGTAGACCAGGCTGGTCTCGAACTCACAGAGATCCGCCTGCCTCTGCCTCCCGACTGCTGGGATTAAAGGCGTGCGCCACCACCGCCTGGCTGGGAATAAAATGTTTAGACTTTCATTAGTAAAACTTTTTCTGCCTAAGAAAGTTTTTCTGCCTAAGACTTGAGGGTTGGTTATTCTGCTTCCTGTTGTTCCCTTGTTTTACACTGTGTGATTAAAAAGAAGGCAGGTTTCATAACACTGTGTTATTGGTGAAGGAGGCAAAGGGAGAAGATTCCAAATAAACATTGCCAAATGGTTTATTGCTGTTTCCATAAGAGCTCTAATACAATTTGACTAACAGAAACAATATTATATTCAATACAAGTCATCTGATGTCATTGGACATTTGACTTTAAGATAGAATACTAGTTAAAGAGAAGCTTAGAAGACTGCTGTGTCCTTATGATTTTTAGGATCCATTGGAAACTTAGCATCCAGGTATTTCCTTATTTGATGTTCTGTTCCCCAAGGGAATCAACATTAGGAGTGAAGGATAAAATGCTGCAACAATAAGTACAGGTGTGGTTAATGAACACAGTTCACCGAATATTTCAAGGCATTATACTTTATATCTAGGTTTTGCTATTCACTTGTAATGTTATTATTTAAATTATAGTTCAAACATTGATTCACATACCTTCAATAGAACCCTCATTGACACTACAACTTGTGCTAGGCATTGTGATGGTTAGTTTTATGTCAACTTAACAGAAGCTAAAGTAATCTGAGAGGAGAGAACGTCAATTTAAAAAAAAAAATTCTAGGACCAGGCAGTAGGCAAACCTGTAGGACACTTTCTTAATTAGCAATTGGTGGGGGAGGGCCTGATACATTGTGTGTGGTGCTATCCCTGGGCTGGTGGTCCTAGGTTCTATAGCAAAGCAGGCTAAGCAAGTTATCGGAAACAAGCCAATAAGAAGCACCCTTTCATGTCCTACATCAGCTCCTATCTCAAGGTTCCTGCCCTGTTTGAGTTCCTGTCTTCACTGCTTTGGATGACAAACTCTTACGTGGAACTGTGAGTGACATAAACCTTTCCTCCCCAAGTTACTTTTCATCATGGTGTTTCATCAACAGTAACACTAACTAAGACAGGCATCACTGATGCAGACAGATGCACTTTTCTCAGGGTTGCAGTATAGTTGCAAACTATACTGAAGAAGAAGATCAATAAGTAGAGGAATGTAATACTGTTTGATAGGGTAGGATGAACACACTGTGTTACAGAGCATGAGGCACTTCTCAGTGTGGTTTTACAGGCTATGCCAGGGCTGTGTAAGAGTGTTTGATCAATGTAGATCAGTATTGACCAGGCTGAAGGGAGAGAGAGAGTGGTTAGGTGTCACAGTTTCAATAGTCAGAGATGGATTAAAATGTGGTGTATGATAAAGATTATGAATGATTTATGATGTTATTATGAGATGAAGAAAAGAAAGGGATTCAGAATGGCTGAAGTTCCCTATTTGGGCATCAAGGCAGCTCATGTACCATGGTGACAGCTACGAAAATAGGGGACACAGGAGGTTCTCTGGGAAGATTATGACTTCATTTTTAGATGCTGTGTTTGTGAAAAACAAAAATAAATGTTCAGAATGTGTTTGGAAATGTATACACAGAAATTAAAAGAGAAACACAGACAAAGAAGGATTCTTAGCATCAGCATATGATAACTGATGTTGCAAGTATGGTTGAGAAAATAATAAAAATAGAGCGATATAAAATCTAAAGGAACACTTGAAGTGTAAATAAACAAGCAATAAATAAAAACAATCATTGGTTACATGAAAGCAGAAGGAGTGTTGTTGGGGTGGGCTTGAAGGGGCCTAACAACAAAGAGTGAGGCAAGAAAAGGGAGATGGGAGAAGGGAACAATTAATAACAAATATACATAAAAATGTTATAATGAAGTCCAGGCCTCGGACTAGAGATATGGCCTAGCAGTTAAGGGAGTATAATACTCTTACACAGAACCTGAGTTTGGTTCCTGGCACACACCTGCGGCAGCTCACAATATCCTCTAATTCCAGGTGCCCTCTTATGGCCATGATGGTCACCTGCGTTCACAAGTGCACAGAGCCACAGACACACATGAATATAGATTATTTAAAAGAGTATTCTAAGTATCCATTACTTTGTATGATAGCTTAAAAATTGTTTTAACAAAGCAAACATTGAAAACTACTGTGAAGACATGGTGGTAGAGGAGGGGCAGAAAACCCTCACTTCTGTCCTCTTAAGATCCAACTAGCTTTAAGAATTAGACTGTAAAATAGGTTAGCAGATGTAAGAACTTTTGCATGGCACAGATGCCCCCATGGAAACTAAAAACCAGAAGAAATAGTCGGCTCAGTGTTTATATACAGAAGCAAACACAAAATGACCAAGTGTAAAGATGGAGGTTGTTTCAAAGACCAGAGATATTTTGACAAGGTACAGTCCTGTTTTGCTTTCAACATCTTGTCCTCATAGTGGTCTTGCTTTGTGTTTCTATTATGGAGAGTGTCTTTCACATGGGACTTTTATCTAATGCTGTTAAGAAGCCGAGGTGATCTCCAAACTTCTGTTCTCCAAGTGCCTTTCCTTAAAAAAGTCAAGATGCAAGCGAGATAAATTTTAACCCACAGAATCAAAGGAGAGCAACAAAAGAGAATGATGAGCTTAAACATAGGTTGTGGTGTCCCTGGAGAAAGCCAATGGAAGTAGACCAAACTACAAATAAACCCACTGGTTCTGGAAAGCAGTCTTCTCCCTGGTATGTAGCTCTGGATTAATTCAATTCTGTATTTTATGTGCATTAGGAAGAACAGTCCTCGGCACCAAAACTAATTCTGGTGTTCTTACTTCCCTTTTTTAAATTTCTCACGAGCATCGCTTTCTCATAACTAGTGTGCTTTGATTTAGGCTTTATGAGTGACAGCTGAAGAGGAAACCCTGGTTTCAGGCTGCTGTCATGTGTAAAACATCAGTTATTCTTCTTGCTTCTAGGACATGGAAACCAGCAGTTTGTGGCTCTTTAGTCCTATCTCTATTTTCTGTCCCTATTTTAACGCAGGTCCTTGCTGGTGTCCATGCTGATCTTTTCTGTAAATACCTTTGTTGGTTCTTCTCTTCTGTTCCATGTAATGTTCCATGTCTGGAGTGTTTAGTATATGTGAAACTAGGACCTATGGCACCATTTTGCTGAAAAGCTTGCATAGTAGTTCAAAGAATCAGTTAGAAGTGATATCGATCTACATTTCTTTCTCTCCCTGCTCCTCTGAGTTTTAAGAATCCTAAACAGATGCATCTAAGA